AGAGAGAGAGAGAGAGAGAGAGAGAGAGAGAGAGAGAGAGAGAGACGAACACACGTGATACAGATCAGTTCGATGGATATATTTAAGGGTTATTTTTGTTGATATGGTACCGGTAATGTGTGTATACCAACATGACGTTGATTATGTTCGATGTTTCGACATCGAAAAGCTCATTTATGTAAGAAAATCGAGTATAAACGATAATATAAATGAAATTGTGGACAGACATTGGACTTTCTCGTTTTCTTTCTTGCTGTACTTTTTCACAATTCAAGTTCGTCAAAGTGTCTGAATATCTCTATTTCTGCTGTTTTTTTTCTGCTTCATCATTTAAATGTTGACGCATTTCACCTTGAACTAGGAATTGTAAAGCAGTTATTGTATTTATTGTTTTAGCATTCAAGAAGAAACAATAAATTTATCTTCGAGATGAGAAAAAAAACCTTCAAATTTGATAATGAACTGGCGTGCGCTGCTCATGTGTTGCGCAACCAATGAATTATTCAAAAAAAATGGAGGAGAAAAAGTGCGAATCATGCGCATCAAAATGAAAAGCCGGCTGGTATTGTGAGCTGCTAGTATATGTTGGTTCTAAGAAGATGAACAGAATGGATAATAAAACTAACAAACGTAAACTGAACCGGTTGTGCTCCTTCTCGGTTTAAAATTTCAGTTTACGTATGGTATGGTATTTTGGCGAAGTATAACTAGGTACTTGATAAAAACAACTACTCCTATTGCTGGGTCTCATTTACTGTTTCAATGCCAATCAAATCGTTTGCTGTCACTATTTTTTCTTTCTTTACAAGTAAATATTTTAGTAAACGATCAACAAGTGTTCAATGAGATAAAGTGCGATTCACGAATGCGAATCAAGATGGCTCTTCTCATGACGGCAGGCCCAATGTTGTCTTTGCAAAACCAAATTCACGTTATTTGTACTTGAGGCCAATTTGTTTCTCTTGCCATTGTTATTAGCACTTTTCGTGATGTTTGCACAAAAATTTTCAACTACACAAAATCTACACGCATCAAATGAATAAAAATTCAACAATGTCTAAGGTGCGCGTATTTCTGATGCTTCTCTCATTCACCAATAAAACGAGACGAGAAAAAATGGTGTGCGTTTTTTTTAATGACATAAAAACGCAATATTCCATTATTGTCAAACAAAAGATTTGACACTGCGTAGCATTAATATGGCTATAAAATTGAAATGGTTGTGGTCATTTTTACAAGCACACGCGCGCACACACACAAACACATTCCGTGTTTTTTTTTGTGTGACTTTGAAACCGGCCATAAAAATTACCAATCAATTAAAAGTATTGAAAGTGATTGAATCGACCAAGGTTCATTTCAATTCCAAAATGGAAAGAAAAAAATTAATGGATTTTAGGGCAAAGAATCGCTAGTTTCCACAATAGAAACTTTTTACGTGGATTTAGATTTAAAAAAAATGTCTCGTGCTCATTCATTTGAATGATATAGATGCTGTTGTTATCTAATCAAATGATGTAATGGTAGACGTGTATTTAAGATTTATTTTATGGATAAACGGTAAACAGGAAACCGTAAGAAGAATTTATTGGGTATGATATGCTCGATAGATATATTTTTTTTAAAATAGAAGTCGCATTTGTTTTCTCGCTCTCTCTAACACACACAGACACATACATCTTTTTTTACTACACACAAACACAAGTCTGGACAATGAGTAAATATCGTGGCCGGAATCGGAGTGAAAATAATTTGTCAATTTACTTGTGTTTTTGTTTGTGTTGTTGCTGTTGCCTTGAATTGTTACCGCAGCTATTACTATTTTCAACTGTTTCACTTTTCCCTTTTGGGCGAGAAGAAAAAAAATAGACAGAAATATGAAATGGGAAAAAAGTTCGCTTCGGTGCATGAAATAGTAGAGAGCAAAAAAAAAATAATGCTCGTAATATTGCAACGAATTTATTGTACCATGACTTTGAAACACCAATTGTATCATTAAACTAAAACCCAACCACTCGCTCGATTGTTGATGGCAAATGGCTTAATGTGTTTTTTTTTTCGAGAGATAGAGAATGAAAAATGCATGACTGTTGCAATGAATACAACGGTTGATAGTCAAACACAGCAGCAGTCGCAACAACAGCAAAACGATTGGAATGCAATCAAAATACGAATCATTGTCTCTTTTCTCTCTATTGTTCAAACAAAAAAAAAGAAGCATTTAAAGCGATACCAATTGTTTATAATGTTCATATTTAATGCATTGATTTTCTATTGGTGCGTTGACCATTTGCTATGAAAATCGACGCGATTTTATTTTTCTTCTCCGAAAACATCACGTTTGTTTGTTTATCCGATGGAAATGTTTTTGGACCACACCACTCAATCACACATACAGGGAATCACACACACACACAATTGAAACTTAACATTGCGTCAACTCAAATCAGGGAATTACAAATGCGCTGCAAACGTAATGGTGACAATTTTAGAAATCAAATCGACAAAAATGGAAAACCAACTGCATTCACAATACATTTTACAAGGCACGCACTTGGGTGGTGTTCGTCTTTTATGCGCTTGTTGCATACAATCGTTTCATTTCAACTTGAAAAAGCTTTGTTTCCACTTGTCATCGCATGAGATGAAAAAAAACAAAACAAAATTAACTCTCGTTTCTGTTCTCTTTTTTTTTCTTTTGCACTAGTTTAACTTGTTTAATTTGAAAGATAATGCTTCGGTTGTTGCGCGTTGAATGCAATCGAAGCCACACATCAAACGATGCACACATCACATTGATTTTTTTTTAGACACTCTGCCCAGTCAAATGGCCATAGAATCGGACGATTTGTGTGTTGAAAACTATATTTCAAGTGTAACTAAGCAAATATTCTATTCAAGATCGGCTTGCTTTTTTTTGGTGTCAAATGCTGGGCAATACACACGATTTTAAACACACACTAACATTCAAGCATAACATTCCAATGCGTGATACCAAAATCTGACAAGCCAGTTTTGGCTTGAAAAACAAACAACAACAATAGCAGCAGCATCAACAGCAGCAGCAGCAACAACAACAACAATCATAAATTAAATATCACATGCACACTAACTACAGAAAATTAATCACTTTGTGGTACATACAAGCTATCGATGCAACCGACACGGCGTACCTATTATGCCTAACAAAGCTGAAACACCTGAGGTCGACATTGTCAAACGAGATCAAAAACAAAAAACAAAAGCATCGAAAACGCAATTGCAATCTCAAAGATCTCGAACTAGACGAGAGAGAAGAAAAAAAACATACGAACCACACTTGAATTGGTAAAACAACGAGCATGAACTAAATGAAAAACGAATGAACGAACGTAAAACAAACACAAACTCTATGCGCAACTAGTCAGGTAAAAACGAAGTAAACGTGCTTTTTTACTTCGTGTTGTTTTTTTTCTTCTTTTTTGTTGTGTGTCTATACGACGTATGCGAACAAGGCGATCTACGAAAACCGACTAAACAGCGAAAAATGAATTTGTGTAAATTTATACCCCGCCAAAACAAGAAAAAAAAACACAAAACCGAACTATGAAGAGTACCAACTTCAATATTTCATGTGTATACCTATTCGTTGAGTGCTCGGTGCGTTCTCTTATTTCTTCGTTTTCTTCCTTTGATTTGTTTCTCTCTGCGAGGCTCCACGCCGCACTCACTTGCTGTATGGATGTAGAAGAAGAAGAAGAGGAAAAAAAAACATTTTTAATCAAAGCAACTTTGCCATTTCCCATCGCTCGACTCGGACGACTCTATGATAGTGCAGAAAAACCCAAACACACATACATACAGTGGACAGCGAGAGCGAGAGCGAAACAAAAGCAACATATCGACGATCGATGTTATATAGGAAATTATTTAGCTTTAGATTTGATATTACTATACGTTCCACTACATGCACAATCCAAGTCGATTTTAGCTTGTTTATGATCGTAACCCAACAATTTTCAAGCATACATAAAAACTATTTTACAACCAACTAAGTTTCTTAATGGCATTTCGATACCATCAACTCTGAGCCGATACTCATACAAACAAATCAAAAAGCACACATAGCTTTCGTTGACTACACACATCACACTCGAGCACGATGTCTGCTCGGGAAAAGTGTACGACCGATCCGATCCGGCCAGAAATTGTGTGTGTTTGTTTGTTGTTCCTTCCATAGAAGAAACAAAACTGCTGAATGAACAAATGACTGGAATGATGGAAACGAGCCAACGAACCAGCAAGTTTCGGCCAACAGTGTGAGAGAACATTGAACGAACCATATGACTCATGCTAACAGCGAACGAACCGAACCAATTACTGAATATACCAAAAATGCATGCAAATTCCATAAAACTCAATTTAAATACACAGAGTTGTCGTGTGAGTGAATCAGAATCGAATGCGACAAGCGCACGCACGCGTGCTCTCGTTCCCAGAGCACAGCGGAAAAGCAAGAGCAGAAAACAACGGTTGTTGCAAGCAAAAACCATTAGACAAACTAATGACACACGTTGAATTTGTCTATCATATTTGTTTGGGATGGAAGAAGAATGCAGTGCACGCGTACATTTCGCAGCCAAACAACAAGTGAAAGTAATTGTTAAAGAAATTGGTACAAAAAACTTCTTCAGTTCACTTCAGATTTACAGTGTTTTTCTTTTTCCGTCTGCGTCTCTCGTCTGTGCATCATTATCTCACTCTATCGCATTTACTTGGAGCTTTGATAGCCGCATATATCGTGAGTACGTTCGTATCACATTGTTGTTCATGTGTGTGTGTGTGTGTGTGTGTGTGTTTGTGGATCTGTGTGTATTTTATTTCATCTTCATTGAGTATGGACGCATATTGTAGCCAAAGTAGCAGCCGCTTGCCATGATTCTCGTGGTTTGCGATGCCGTCAGGCTAAGACCGAGACCAAGTCATTCGGATAACATACCAACTACAAAGATTAGTCAGCATATACATATATTCAATGAAATTTTATGAACGTGAACTACTTTAATGTCTGGTCTGGCTTATTGTCACAAGTGAATTGAGACGGCCTCAAGTGTTTTCATAACTTTTCTCTTTCTCATAACATACTTCGGCGAGCGGGCGGGCTGCTCAAACATCGAACGAGCGCGACGACAGCACAAAAACGCACTCATGCGCGCGGCTTGACAACCAAAAAGCGAGAGAGAGAGAGAGAGAGAGAGAGAGAGAGAGAGAGAGAGAGAGCAACAAAAGTTGAGAGAGCGAGAAAAAGCGCAAACAACAAAAAAAAACACAACTAAAATTCAAAGAAAAAAAAGAAGCGCACATCAAGATAAAATCGATACGCAATTTTACAAAAGGAGAAAATCAGATGAGAAAGACGAAATGACGACGACGACGACGACAAAAAAATAACTCATACAATAAACATGAACAAGAAGCAATAACATCTCAACAGCCTATAGCGCAATGTATTTGCTAAGCAGTTGGTATGCCGTCTTAGCGCGTGTTCATGTTGAATTGCTTGACTTCGGTCGTTTTAAATGATGTATCACATTTGTTAAAATATTTGAGCATCGCAAGATCCGAGGCTGCGGTCACAACACACTAATCATCGTCCCGATGTTATGTGAATGAAAATGTTGTTGTTTATACACTGACCAAAACACACATACACACGGGTATGTAAGAAATGCAAGCACTCGAGTGCACATTATGCAGATTGCATTCATTGTATGGGCACTAGAGACGTACTGCTCAATGCCCGCATGACGAAATCCACATTAAAGAAATTTATCTTACTTATTGTGCTGGCTGGGCGATAATTTTTACGATTCTGATCGGTAGACTGTCGAGCATTCGATAATCTTTCTCGAAAGATGTCAAACAAAAACCGAAGAAGAAAAAAAATGTTGTGAATACGAAAGAAGCCTCCACAATCATTGCATGTTTGTTTACACGGTTCGTGACATATATTGCTAACCTACTCTCGGCACATCCATACGATGGTGCAGTCAATTGGCCACGGCACATTGGATTTGTACTTTGTTTTTCATTTCAGTTTCTCCTTCAACTTACTCTCAATTCACATCGATACATGCGAATCACTGTTTCCCTTGTGGTTTAGCTTGGCAAACACAAAATGTAACTCAGGCGTAGGCATTTAAATTTGTTGTTGCTGTTCAATTGTGAGCACCAAACAGAAAACCACACATTTTGTGCAAATATAAATGATAAACGAAAAATTGCAATAATATACGTGAATGACATGGCTTATATGGGATATACCATTCCCAGTCACTTAAATGGAAATGATTGTCGTTACTGCGGCCACCGCTGATGCTACTGCCGTTGTTGTTGTTCCATAGTTTTGTATTCTATTGCTAAGAGAAAAAAAATAATAATCAACAATTCAGCCATCCATTTGATGACCTAACCGAATGTTTGGTTTGCTTATTGAATGCAACATGCATTCGATTTGCCATTCGCTATGATGCAATTTCACTATATACAAAATGTCATCAGATTTTGTGTGTGAATCGCGCGCGCACGAAGTCTACAATTATCAAACATTATTCCTTTTGCCCGGTTCTTATGGAATATATGTGTAACAGAAAGCGCTCTGACTTGAATCCAGGTCACATACAAACGCAAATAGACAGACAAACAAATGAACTGAAATGCAATAGATGGCAATAAAATGTGCACTCTCTTAATCTCGTTTGTATGACAAGCGCAAAATTGATTGATATCGTTGTTGCTGTTGTCTTGTATTTCTATCACATCAATATGCCATGCAAATCAACACCAAACCGTCTCGGCGTCATGTTCACAAAGGTTGCGAGAGATCGAAAGTAAAATCCATGAATGGCATATGGCATAAGGGCAAAAGACAAGAGAAGAGAAAAAAAAAACAGAATCGTAGCAAGCCAAGTGACATGACATGAAAAATGCGAATGAAATCTCGCATGATTGTCTAAATTTTATTTGTTTACTTTTTGCATTGTCACCTTTAAGCCAATAATTCACTTATTTATTTCATTTTCGATTATGTAATGCGCTAGTGTGATTTTTCCGAAGAAGCTGCGAGAGGCAAAGTAGAAAAAAAATGATTCGTACGGTGACGAAAAACATCATGATATCAGTAGGAGAGCACGACGTGTGCGCACAATTCACGGGTATTTGGTGTGTGTGTGTGTGTGTGTGACAAAAGCTGCATAGCCAACCAGCAGACATACTGCCACTAATCGAATTTGATTTACAATTGTTGACTTTCTATGGCTCGCGCCCGCTCGTCTTTTTTTCTTCTTCTTCTTTTCTTTCTTCATCATCACTTGCTTCCAATCAGAAATTACACCCGCCATCGTAATTAATGCTACACAGCTTCGCACCCGATTCTCTTTCCTCTCATGATACGATCGACCGTATCGAAATGGTCTATAATTTTAGACACTTTGACACACGTAAATAGAATTCATTGGAATTCTCTTCCGTTATATTCTCTTCTCTTGTGCACGAGCGCATCATACGTATGTGCGAATTGTGCAAAATTCTGTGTCTTGATGTCGACAACAAAAAAATTCGATATTTATTTGCGCTTTAATAAATATTTATTGCTTACCACATTCGTATATATATTTTTGGTGTGATTTCATTTTTACCATTGAACACCTTCAGTGCGATTTTCAATGTCATTAGCAAATGAATGGTAAGTGCGATGCGTGTTAATATACACAAAAGAAGAAGAAAAAAACTCTTACTGTTTGTTGCCAAACATTTTGTGTGTGTGTGGATTTTTTTCTTTCGAAGACGAACCAAAATTGGTAAATGGTAAACATTAAAAAAAAAAACAGCGCACTTGTTATACAACATTGTATGAAAAGTGTTTGAAGCGCTTCGGTCTTCTTCTTTATTTTTTTTCAATGGTAATGACGTCGACGATGACGAACCCAAATGCGTCTGTGGGAATTAACCTATTTGCTTTTAACTGGTTGCCCTTTGCGCAAATAGACACACACACACAAGCATATTACTCAAAAGCATAGAAGATGAAATTCACTTGCTCTTGAATCGCAGCCAATTTCTCCTGTTTTTCTCTCCCTAGAATCATGTCTCTCTCTCTCTCGTGCGCTCCAAACTGAATACACATCAAATTTGGTAGGAACAACGGTACATATACCCAGTTCAAATGTTTCTCGTACAACCTACCAAGCCATTGGATTTCAATTATTGCCGTTGATTGCTTAATCGCTTTAAAACGAGAGGTTAAATCGATTTGTGCGTGTCATTTGGCTGATAAGTTAATTCATAAGCGCGTTTCGATTCATTCAATTGTGGAGAAACGAGACACAGACGGTTGGCTACCCATCGGTGCACTATTGATCGATGTATCAATGTCTCAAAGTCTAAGCGACACAGAATTCTGAAAAGGACACACATTTCCATTGAAGCTGAAGCTCTTGAAGTCTGTTTTTATTTGTTCAAAAGAAAAAAATAGAACAA